GGTTACGTTCGTAACGTCATGAGAAGTTTGTTTCGATCTCATTCAAAACAAGCAATATATAGTCATCGGAAAATTACTTCTATAAATCATGGCTGGATGCTGTGTGTCGTAAAACTAAGTTCGAGTTCGCAAGTCAACTTCAAATGGAATTACGTTCTATATGTCTAAGAGTCAATTAACTCTTACGTACTTAAAGGTACGTACCACCACTAATAAAGCGACGACGTTTGACTGCATCCATACCATAGTTGAACCCATGGACTTATTGGCAAAAAACCTACCTGTACTCCGTCATACAAGAGTAGGAGGTCGTAAAACTCACGTCTAAACGTGGTGTACCTAATTGCTGATTTGTTCCTTGATATCACGCGTGATGCACATTGTATCCTCATAACGTTCAGGTTTTTTTATATTTTCCTGAATGTAGCTTCTATGCTTGTATTGATGCAATACCTCAATGCTTCTCATAACACCAGAAAGGGTCCGTAATTTAGATAACACTTACTCTGCGCAACAGTCGTGCGGTATATAGTCGTGTCTAAAATATTCTTTTTTACTCGTCTTTCCGTCATTTTGGTCAGAAGTTTTCTCAGAAAGTGTCATAAATTATAAATAGGCGAACCACGACACCTAACCAAAATTTCAGTGGACCAGGATCATAATGACACTTACGAACTGGATTGCTTTTGCACGTAATATAGTGCTGATCTCCCACGATCTTCACGACTCCTTTTCTATCGTGTACGCCGCCTAATTGCACACAAAGGCCGTTTGCATTAAACCTGTGTCGCGCGATCCGCCCTTTTCTCTAATTAAGAGGGTTTAATATAAAGATCCCAAAGAGAATTTCCACGTGTCCTGGCAGGCTGCCGGGCGACGTCAGACATGAGGCAACAGCACACGACATACTTATGTGGTGGGTAGCGAGGGACCTACTTTTACCTAGTATGCCTTCATACATTGTCTATATCACCGAGAGCATGACCTGTATCGTTAAAAACGATTTATATTCTTTGTTTGAAGAATCGACCCTCGGCAGAAATTCTCACCAACTCCAACTTTTGTTCGTTTTCCACGCATATAGTTCGAAATTTGTCATCGTAAAGGAAGACTAGCGTAATGGGTGCACTTTGCACGATGATCTTTTTGGCGACGGAGGTATCGTTTCGCTGTCATAGATATTTCCCGAAGATTGTGAAAATCGTGCGAACGCGTCGGTTGGGAGAGAGCGATTTCATCACTCCGTCCATTTGGAAACGATTCCACACGGAGGTATTTTAAACTGTTCACTCCAAGTTCACAGCCAGCAATCCTCTGAGGATGCCTTCTTCTGGTCGGAGGTTTGGCGCGAAAGCGCTTAGACCCTCTCGGCGTTTTTGAATGAACTAACAGACTTAGAGACATCAAAGCCTGAGGCTAATAGGACGAAATAACGAGAGTATTCTAGATCAGACGGCTGGCGCTTGGGTGCACATTTAACACCGTAAAACCTGTGCAGGTCCCTCCCGAGAGTTCCGCCAATGCAGTGGGCTGCAGAATGAGCCACAATATGCGATATTGTTTAACATCAGACCTAATATTATCCGGACAGGAGAGACTCTGTATCAGAAATCGCACCGCTGTTGAGCAGAGGCAAGCCCTGATTGCGAGTGTTTTTGCTCACTTACCACTTGTTTCTTTCATCACACGCAATAATTCACGCATACGGAATCTTATGAAGGGAACGAAATCCACAAGGCAAGGGGTTGTCAGTTACTGGTGGCAGAATTCAAGAACAGGCTACATTTTGAATGATTCTACAGGCCCACTGATGCTTGTGGCGGAACCTAAATCGATTAGGTTTTCAGCTCGTTCTAGAGTCACATGTGCACATGAGAGGTCGGCATTCGCGAGCGACGACATTTACTGCTTTACTTATTTAGTGTGCGTAACGATAACTTGAGTCCGACTTAGCTTATGTTGGGTTTGAACTTGCTCAACATTTATCTCATTAATCTCTCACTCATCTTTCTCTGATGGTGAGACAAAGTCAAATCAACCGTAGGTTGGCGCGGACACCGTAACTGGCGAGGCCAGGATGTCCATCCACACGTGCCACACGCGACTCATTTTCATTTCGTACAAGCCTGCACCACTGGCGAAATTTTGGATCTAGCACTAGTGATAGTGTTCTAACGAGGGGGAGCTATTACATCTTGGATCAGTTCTGAGAAGGATCGAGTTATCTGTTAATTTTGCAACTTTTTGAGCCGTAGCACTTAACGCACTAAAATATATTCAGGCGCGTTAGATTGTTTATAGTGAAGAATTCGATGATTTGCCGTGGAGATTGACTCTGTAGTGCTACTATCACTCGATCTCTCTCCCGTGGGCCAGCCGGCTACCCGAGTCTGTCGATCACGTGATGATGGACTCCGGCTCAATGACTGACGCAACGTGAATACCCACGTCTTAGACGTCCCACACTCATGTACGACAGTATTTATAAGCTCACTTGGGCACGACGCAGCCCTATTAACGCCGCCCGTGAGTCGCGCCCTGTTTCTGTTGTCATATGAAACATCCGCAGCACAGTTTTCATTGTATCTCATTTGGTGTGCTTCACAAAACATAAGTGAAGCACAAGAAAGGCGCCTAAGCCGTCACAGTTGTATTATATTAACCACCAGTAGATGAAGTACGCAGCGTGTGATTGGTAGATGAGTGTTACGCCCGATCAACCACGCAACTTTAGGACTCCCATATAAGTCGGTTTAGAGTTAGAGAAGACCTATTCAGACTTATCGCTTCCTTTAAAACGATTTGCCAATGACCTAATTCACAAACTAATTCCGAACTTAACCTCATATAGACGACCACCACGAATTACGACGAGTAAACCGGGCATTGGTTTCGACTTTGGAATCCGACAAGCGCGCCATCAAATAGTTCAATCTATCGCCGTTTCCTCTGTTAAGGAAGCAGAACCATAAGGCTTTCTGTGTTTACCGAGTGAGGATAGTTCGCGTGATTTTTACTTTAACAACTGTGTCAACTATATCAAAACATACCTCAGTGTCCATGATTTGAAAAATGTTGGATTACGTATTGCTCAGGAAAAAAATGATGGGATATTCAGTAAAATGGCCAATTTTATGCGTTTTGGTAGGAGTTTGCGAAGAATAAACTGATCCAACGGGATGGAAACTTTTATTTTACCTCATCCGCTCAGAGGACAAGGAATTCACGTCCTTTAACTGACCAACTGTGGTGTATGGGTACAGTAAGAGAACGTCTACGATGGTATGGTCGGCTGGATTCCTAACAGATATTTCCGTAGTTATAAACATTTTA